AACTTTTACATTTGGAATTATATATTACTGTAAACACTAGGAAAAATAAATGGTTCTCAAAATGATATATAATGTTTGTGTGATTGTTGTTAAACACTAAAATTGCATATGTATAAAAACATAACATTTACATAATGTATAAGAAAATTAATTAATACTAAAATATTGCAACTAATTATGTCTATAAAAAAATTATACTTGCACATGCATGCAGACCAAAAATAAAAATTAAATAAATTATTATATATTTTAATATTTTTCCGTTTATTTAGTTACCATTTTTGCATTTTTTATCCAAAAAAATATTTTAAAATCTTAGTTAATATTTTTATCTTCATTTTCTATTGAAATATAAAATATTTTATATTCAATTTATCGTTATTTTTATTATCAAATATTTATTATTAATACATAATTAATCATATACAAATAAAATATCTTCAATACTATATTAATCATAATTAAACATATAAAATGTTTTATAGCCCGAACACGGTGCAGACCGATCACCTAGCTCATGTTATATTTCGTGCTATACACATGATTAAATTATTCGGTTTTAACTGAATCTATATAATATGTTTATAAAATTCTATAATATTTTTCAATATTAAATTTGTATATTTTTAAACTAATTTTTTTATGAATCATGTTACATTTAAAGATGTTAAATTTACAGTTAAAAAATAAATAAATACAGAGAAAATTATGGTAGTGGCACATTAATAAATTGGGAATCTTGCAAAAATGACACATAAATTCAAGTTAATTGCTAAACTAACCTCCTATTTTATCACTTTTGAAATTAACCACTTATATCCTTATCAGTTCTATTTATTTATGAAAATGCCATTAGATTATTGTTTTTTATTATTATTTTAGAAATCTATTTTACCAAACAATCCTCATCTTCCTCACTTATTCATGAAAATGCCATCACCGTCAATTCATTCAACCACCATTTTCAACCAATTTGAAGCTTTTATTGCTTCAAAGACCCATTTTTTAGCTTTGTAACCTCATTTCCTCTTTTCTTAACCTTCTATTCTTCCATTTTTTCACCATTTTCAGCACAAAAACTCTCTAATCTAAATTTTTGAAACTTGATGTTTTAATATATTGCCATATTTGGTGATTTGGTCTGGCAAATCGTTTGGGCTTGTTTGGTGGTGGCTGGAATCAAAGAAATCGGTGGTTGAATAAGTTAAATACCACTGGTAGGTGATTTTTTCAGTCAATTTTCGTGAGTTTTCAGATCTGTGCCGCGAAAGTAGACTTCTTAAGAAGTCTACTGTCGGTAGTAGACTTCAAAAGAAGTCTGCTGGTCAACACACATGTTAGTTTTGCAATTGACCGGGTGTACCAATTTCTGACAGTAGACTTCAGTTGAAGTCTGCGTCATTTCCTTTGATAACAAAAAAAATAGTGTAAACTTCAAAAGAAGTCTACGTAAAAAGGGGTTAGTTTTGCAATTGACCAACGTTTGACTTTTTCGTAAGAAGTCTACTCGCAAAAGTAGACTTCTTCGGAGAAGTCTACTTTGAAAGTAGACTTCTTAGAGGTTAGTTTTGCAGTTGACCAATGTTGACTTTTCGAGTAGACTTCGCTTGAAGTCTACTTTTCCGAGTAGACTTCGTTTGAAGTCTACTTTCTGAGTAGACTTCAAAAAAAGTCTACTCAAAAATAAATTCAACGTTTGGTCAACCCCAAAACTAACCCAAGTAGACTTCGTTTGAAGTCTATTTTTGAAGTAGATTTCAAATGAAGTCTACTTTGAAAAGTCAACATTGGTCAATTGCAAAACTAACCTTTAAGAAGTCTACTTTAAAAGTAGACTTCTCCGAAGAAGTATACTTTTGCAAGTAGACTTCTTACGAAAAAGTCAAAGTTTGGTCAATTGTAAAACTAACCTTTTTTTACGTAGACTTCTCGAGTAGACTTCTCGGAGTGAGTAGACTTCTTTGAAGAAGTCTACTCATCTTTTGGCAATTGCAAAAGTAACCTAAAATATAGACTTCATACGAAGTCTACATTTGTAGACTTCATTGCAAGTCTACTTTTGTAAACTTCGTTGTTAGTCTACTATTTCACTTTTTTTTATAAACGCGTTTTTATCAAATTTACAACGAATTATTAAGATTTTTTTGGTTTTACGATTGTTTTAGTAAGTGTACTTATATTTGTATCAGTTTTATATGTTTATATTATATATATTTGGTGAAATCAAGTTTCTTGTTTTATTTGGTATTTAGCTTATTAGTCTGTAGACTTCGTTGCGGTCTGCGACATTATTATTTTTTTAAAATTAATTGATCAGATATTTGTAACAAATAAAATTTATATTTTGACTCTTAAGTGTGTATTATTTATTGTTCTTACTTATGTAGGAGTTTGACATGTTTATTTGTTATAGTTTAGCTTTAATTAATTTTCTTGTTCTAATTGGTATTTAGCTTATTAGTCTGTAGCCTTTACTTGAAGTCTACATAGTAGACTTTGTTTGCAGTCTGCGACATTAATTTTTTTATAAATTTAATTGATCAGATATTTGTAACAAATAAAATTTATCATTTGACTCTTAAGTGTGTGATATTTATTGTTCTTGCTTATGTATGAGTTTGAATTTTTTTTTTGTTACAGTTTAGCTTTAACTAATTTTCTTCTTTTATTTGGTATTTAGCTTAATAGTCCGCAGACTTCATTTGAAGACTACATTGTAGACTACGTTTGCAGTCTACTTTTTCGACAATGATTTCTAATGTGGTTTGAATTTTGTATTCTTACATAGAATGGTTCACATACCCACTGTTTATTGAGAATGTGTGAAGAAAGACTAGTTGTGGTATTTCTAAGTAGTTTTACATGTTTTTTTTGTTATGAGTTTTACATGTTTTTGTATAGTTAAATTGAATTAATTTTCTTCTGTTATTAGAGGTTCAAAGATGGTGATGACTAAGTCTAACAAAGAAGTCTGCATATGAAATCTGAATATGATAAAACACACATAATTTAAGAATCTATAAAAATAACATTAACTGCAATCCAATTTTACATATAAAGTAGACCTTCTAATCAAACAAACATTTAAGGATCACTAATTATAAACCTTAAAATTAGCATATTAAAACAAAATGTCTGAAATAGATGTATGTGACTGAAGTCTGCTCGAGAAGTCTACTCGAGAAATCTGCAGCTGAAGTCTGCTTCCAACAAAAACAAAAGAGAAATAAATAAGCTCAGGTCTGCACAATAAGAAAAAAAAATGTTAAAATTCATATTTCAACAAAATCTGCTATATTTACAAACATCATATCTGCAGCAAAAAAGAAAAAAAGAAATCAGCTATGCAACAAAAAAATTATAGGTCTGCAACAAAATAAACAAAATTCAGATCTGCAACAAAATAAACAAAATCAGATCTGCAACAACTAAAAATTCAGATCTACAAAAAAAAAAAAAAAATCAGATCTGCAACAACAAAAAAAATCAGATCTGCAATAAATTCTACAAAATTTATACCATAAGAAGCGCATATTTGCAAGAATAAACTCATATCTACAACAAGAAGCTCAAATATGTAATAATAAACCCAGATTTACAATATGAACACAAAACAAACAACAAAAGAAACACAAAACCTCAGATTTGCTTACCATCACCATAATTGAGATAGAGAGGATGGAGGATAGAGATGGGTTTGATGGCAAGAGAGGAAGGAGAAGAGATTCATGGCCAGAGATGAGGTAGAGGAGAGAGAGGCGTTTTTTAGATGGAGAGAAAAACTTTATTTTTAACCCAATTAGGTTAATCTCCTTATATATGTAGGAAAATTTTCGGTTAAGTATGCATACGTATGTTTTTTTGTAGTAGACTTCTAAGAGGTTATATATTTTCTAGTTAATTTTCTTTCTGCATTTAAGTTGATTCATTTGTATGAAATTTTGTATTCTATACATGTCAAATATATATGTCTTACTTATGTTTACCAATTTTTTAGAAATTTATTTATTTTATATTTTCTAATTAATTTTTAAAAAACTAATTATGTAGTAGACTTCTTTTGAAGTCTACATACAACGATTGTAGACTTCTTACGTAGACTCTTCAAAGGATAAAATCGTAACTGTGGCAGATGTTTTTTGTTTAGTCACAAAGGACTGAACTGTAATTTCACCACCCCTTTGGGTTAGTTTTACCAAACATTCAATAAGGGGTTTACATATTGAGAAAAAATCAACTTTTAGGTTATAAAGAGAAATTTCCCCTAATAAATTTAACCTCTAATATTTCTTCTTCAATATATAGTTAGATCATGAACTTTTTATTTTTAATTAAGTAAACTGTTGAGTTTTTTTACATATTGAAATACTTATATGTTATTAAATAAGTTAAAAATACACATTTTATAATAAAAACAATTAGACCCTTTTAATAATTAGATCTAGAATCGTAAAAGCATCTGAGTTTATTTGATGTATACAATTTAAAATATATCATGTTATATACTCGTTGATCAAATCTGTGAAATGTATAAGATATCACATTTTGGAATATTTTTTTGTTTTCCGTAACAGATTACTAAAAAATATTATGGATTTAACTATAGTCTGAATTAGTTGGTCGAACTAACGTGTTTAATGGCCCGATAAGAGACGACCGTTCTGTTTATAATAATGGGATGAGCACGCTACACGATGTCTCAACAGCTAAAATAACATATAACAAAAGATAATAATAATAACAAATATTAATAACATATGGTCCATGGATAGAACTCGTGTTGGAATCATCTTTTTAAAATGTTTTGTATATATGAACTAATCACACCGTGTTGTACTGACCTAATTAAGATACTAATATTGCTGCATGCATGTGTATTGTGCTGAAAAATTCTTAATATTTTAGTCTTCGTGTGACCTTTTATAAAGGGCTCGATCCGAACGAGATGTACAACACACTACACACAACACAAAAACTTGTACTCATAGCTAAAACAAGAATCTAAACGCAATAAAAAATATAATCGATCGATGGCTAGCAACAGTAATGACAACCGCGACACAAATGAAAGCATTTGGCGGTTCAAAGGAAACGGCGCAACGAGTGATGCAGCTGCGGTAACGTTGAGAAAGCTCGTCTTTGGAATGTTTAAGAACTGCAACTTAAACAGTGGAAAGACCATTTTGCCCTCCACCACTAAAAGCTTCAAAACTTGCCCTGAAGCGGAGGAAGCTGTGGCTGCAGCGGTCCGCTCCGGCATGGCCAACTCTTATGCCCCTAGCCCTGGAATTTTCAACGCTAGAAGGTTTGATTTGATTATTCACTTTCCTCGAAAATTCTTTGTGTCAAATCGGAATATTTAAAGGCTAAATCCGGATACCGGGAGAAGTTCGGCCGAAAAGTACCATAAATTTCAAAAAAAAAAATTGAAAAACAAAGTTTGAGAACTTTTTGAGTAACATTTAATTTATATAATTCATTAATTATCTGGCTACTCTTTTTTTTTTTTTACTCAGAGCGGTGGCAGATTATCTAAACGGAGATCTTCCGACTAAGTTAAGTCCGGAAGACGTGTATATCACCGGCGGATGCAACCAAGCGATAGAGATCTTAATGGATAGTCTTGCTGGAAACCCATCAGCCAACATTCTGCTTCCAAGACCAGGCTATCCTCACTACGATGCTCGTGCTGTTTATAGCGGCGTGGAGGTACGCAAATACGATCTCCTCCCGGAAAGAGATTTCGAGATCGATCTGAACGAACTTGAGGCTGTTGCCGATGAGAATACCGTTGCAATGGTTCTCATCAACCCGAACAACCCATGTGGAAACGTCTACTCCTACGATCATCTTAACAAGGTACATATAGTTCTTTTTCATATATTATACATAGCCTTTTTATATGTCACACATATGTAAGAAATAAAGATCTATTGGTAATCGAACTTACATTTCTTTTGTTTGGGTTGATCAATCTGTAGGTTGCGGAGATGGCTAGGAAACTCGGTATAATGGTTATATCCGACGAAGTATATGATCATGTTGTATTTGGAGACATGCCCTTTGTTCCCATGGGGATTTTCGCATCGATAGTTCCAGTGATCACGCTCGGATCCATATCCAAAGGATGGGTCGTCCCAGGCTGGAGAATCGGCTGGATCACCATGAACGATCCTAATGGCATTTTTAGATCTACAGGGGTCAGTCAACTTCTAAACATAATGACAATTATTAGTTTCACTCACATCAATTAAGTAGAGTAAACTAATATATTGGACCTTTTGTTGACATCAGGTAGTTCAAGCAATAGAGGATTGTCTTGATTTAACTCCACAGCCTTCATTTATTCTTCAGGTTTGTAGTCTCTCACTATCATCAGCTACATAATATCATCAGACTAAAGCGATAAGCTCTTTGAATATACATAAAAGAGTTGAGGTTTTATATATACTAATTAATGTTCTAAATGATATCTCTATGGATTTCAATAGGAAGCACTTCCTGATATATTGGAGAAAACACCTAAAGAGTTCTTCGCCAAGAAGCTCAAAGCCATGAGACGCAACGTAGAGCTTTCATGCGAGAGACTCAAGGACATTCCATGTCTCTCTTGCCTCAAGAAACCTGAATCTTGTTCTTACTTATGGGTACTTTCTTTTTCTTGGATATAAGATATGCAATATAGATACTTTCTTTTTCTTGGATATAAGATATGCAATTAGATGTTTTATTTTTGTATCCTCGTGCTTGGTTTGATCTTATATTATCAGGGAACATAAATTCATAATCTACATATATATGCATATAACTAATTATTTTAAAACGACGTTTTTGCAGGTAAAACTTGACACATCGATGTTGGATAATATCAAAAGTGATTTTGATTTCTGCACGAAGTTAGTCAGTGAAGAGAGTCTTGTCCTTGTACCAGGTACTGATCTCTCTAACAATATATGGAAAACATGGGCTTACATATTCATATTCATCCATATTGTTTCAAATAATTAAGTTTGATCTTCAATGGTCATTTTTTTTGTTTATTTATATTTAGTCATGTTTTTGTTGTTGGAATTTTGTAGGAGTGGCTTTAGGTGCAAAGAATTGGGTGAGGATATCGATCGGAACCGAAGAATCAGAGTTAGAGGAAATATTTGACAGATTAAAAAGTTTCTATGGTCGTCATGCCATTTCCAAACACTCTACCAAACTCAATGGTTATGCCAATAATCAGAGAGTCGTCTCTGTAATCTAATTGTTATCAACATCAGATTTTCTATTTATATATATCCTTGTAACATCAGATTTTCTGTTTATAGGCTTGATACGTTTTTTGAATTATAAGCCTTATTGCTGTAAAAAAAAATAAAAAAATTTATAAGAAGGGTTCTTAAAATAAGGTAATTTGGTTCTTCAGCAAGCAAACTTTCATTACATGTCTAACAACAAAAGTAGTTTCAATTACAATAAACACGAAGAAAGACTTTCCACAAAGGACAAAAAGAAATATAAAGACTAATCAAAAATCTGCTTCATAAGACTATTCGTACACAATCTCACGGCAGAGAGGGCAAGAGTTACTCCTCACTAACCACTCGCCGACACATCTCATATGACACCGATTGTTCAAGACGTCGTCTTCGTCGTTCCACAAACCCTCCAAAAAGATTGCACATTTGGATTCTTCAGAAACGGGAACATTGTCGAGCAACACATCTTCCGTCAAAACCACGTTAACGGACATGATGTAAGGTTGTCCGCTTTGAATCGCTTGATTAGCGATCGTTTCTGTAACGCCCCTAACCGCCCATTCCTACGAGTCACCCATCCCTCCATCAGATTCGTGGACCCTTTGTCCGACGGTCGGTCGGTGCGTTATTTTTTCGAAACACACCGACTTATTTACTGACCCTGTAATCACCACATAATCTTTCCCCGTGTTTTAGCCTCACTCACACGGTTTCGGGAATCACTTCCCGAAAGGTCACCCATCCTAGTTCTGCTCCAGCTCAAGCATGCTTAATTCTGGAATTCTCTCATAGAAGGTAGAACAACTCTAATATAAGCTGAACAACGAAGATCTCCCTGTCAGCTGGCATGGCATATACGAAAGGAAGGGAGAAAGCCGAGGTCTGAACAACAACATCATCAAGCACCATATTCCCATCCCACTAACCGAAAAGATAAGTGCACTTTGATGACATATGTAATCAAATTAATCCATTTAAATTTATTCAAATGGGCAGGCTCGGGTCGTTACAGTCTTAACGATATGATGGGATAAGGGAGGATCATGGAGACGAGAATCGATGAGCGTAAACAGATGATTCGGATTGGATTCGTAGCTTTTGAGACTCAAACTGATTTGAGAGACGGGAAGAGGAGGCGCCGCGTAAAATCCAGTACAAGTTAGGGTTCCATCGGATTCATCGATCGTGAATCTCTGGAATCTGTGGGAGAGATTGATGAGAACTTTGTTGAGGCTCGAGGGATGAACAGAGGTTTGATCGAACAAATCGATTTTTACTGTAACAGATGCTCTACCTTCCATTCTTTTGTTTCTGTAATTCAACAAATCGATGTAGAGAAAGAGGAGTGAGATGTTATTAATTATATAGGCTTTTTCAAACGATTAAGTTTCCTTTTTTTGGTTATTGTTATTTCCTTTTTCTTAGTTGACCGGTTTACCGGTTTATTTGTGATATTGGATTTTTCTTAAACGATAAAAGGTTTCTAAATTTGCATCCTTACTTATTTCCTTTTTTTATCTTAAACGCAAATGTTTATTAATTGTTATTTCCTTTTTTATATATTTTCCGTTGTTGTTGCTTATTTCTCCTTTCTATTCGAACCAATTAGTTTTTGCCTTTTGGGCTTTTGGGTGTGATAGTATCGAGTCAACCTAGTAACAAACAATGATTGGTACTTAATTGGGTAGTTCGTTTTGATTCTATTAAAAAATTACAAAACCGAACCATTTCTTTTTCATAAACTAATTATGGATAACTTTTGTTTTAAGCTGTGTTTATTTGATTAATAATTCAACTGTCTTTTTGAAATCAAAATTTACACAAAAATGATAGGACTTCAATTTTCTAATGATATAAAACATCAAAAAAAAAAATATATCTGGTTAGTTCTAATCAAACGATTTGCTCTAACTTTTTATGCATGCATTTTTGTAACCCCAATATATAAAAGATCAATTTTCTCAGTTTTTTTCTAAACATATATCTTTCTTGATGATTAACTTTTCAAGAGAGACATAAGTCTCAACTTTATGCAGATACATCATACATAAGCATATTTATTATTTTCTCCGCTCGTATGAAAATTCTCTTCATGCTTCATCATTTGTAGCAAATTTCAACCTGATCGAGATCGCGTCATGCTCCTGCAGTGATTCAGAACTGTTTTTTTTGCAATTTTCAACGAAATTATCTTTTGGGCGGTTGAAATTTCACAGTATATAATTTTGTTAGAGTTTATGAGACTTGAACAAATTAATTAGTGTTTCCCAACAATTATTTTCATGGCCAAACCAAATTTCCTATTGTTATACAACGCAAGCAAAAAAAAAACATTTACATATAAAACCAGTTTTAAAACCAAACAACATTTAAATGATAAATGTAAATGTTGCATCTTGATTAGCATTCATATATAAAAACAAACGAGATCAAAAAAAATTGTTCTGAACTTCGTGTTACTATTGCCAAATTTTCAAAATCATTTGATGATAAATAAAAGCTTTCCGATTAGTTCAAGTCAAGGAAATCTCAACTAAACGGGAAAAAAGAGAAATTAACATAAACTCAGTAAATTTTTTTGTGGACTTACAAAATACCATTACTTATATAATTGGATAGTTCCCATGGATTTGGTCTCGAAGATGAAAACAGACAAAGGTCAAATCCAGGTAGATGGGAGCGGGAAACAGATCTGAGAGAATCTCATGGTTTTGTAATATCTCATGCATACTTCTAAAACCAAATTTTCACGACAAAATTAATTATAGGAACATTCTATTAATAAACTTAATGTTGCATCTTAATTATGAATATAATGTTGCATCTTTGCGATTTACATTTACACTAGGTTCTAGGTAGCAATGCGAATGATTTCAACATCTAACATTTACACTGGGTTTTGTCGTAGCACACCTCAAACCTTTGCGATGGGGTGAAAATTTGATCCATTACGTAGAATTTTAATTTTAACCGATTTATTATCTGTTATAGCATATAATCTATCATTCAAGTAGTTCAACTTCATAACATTAGTCAAGATATAAGTTTTTTTCCAATGTCGCCAAAAAAACCGAAATAATCTGAAAAAAATAATTAAAATTAAAAAAAAAACAGCTAGCAAAATACTAGCTTATAACTTCTTTGTTTTTTTTTTCCTCAACTACTACCACCAAAAAAGAAAAATATATAATAACATTTGTGAATCAGAAACAACCATTTCCATAAGCGAAATTGTAATTATTGGAAAGACCAGAAGACATATACATGTAAGGAGGAGTCTTCACTTTATTATCCAAGAAAAGAAACCATACACATCCTCTTTCACCTCATAAAACGGCATCGTGTTCGTCTCCGGCACAACCGTTTTCCTCAACTCCTCCAACGCAAATTTCATTTCCTGCAACTGAACCATATTCATCTCTTCCACTGGTCCTTCCCACCAATTGATTCCCGAACGGCTTGCATTCGTTTTTCTCTTTTCTTCAAGGGCCTGACCTCTCTTCTTCTCTTCTTCTACCTCGCTTATAATCTGCGTCAACCGAATATTAAGCTCGCAGCTAGCTGTAGGGTTTCCCTGTGGTTGCTGCGTCTGACCTAGGGATATATTATTTCGAGCCATGTACCGGTCCAAGCCGGATTCAACGCTTGGATGGCCGAAAGAGAAAGGCTTGTTTGCAGGAGAAAACACGATGATCCCAATCTCTGCGCCGCACAACGTACAAAGCTCACTAGCTTTCTTGAATAGACCAGCTCTGCGTTTAGAGAATGTGACTTGCCTGTGACTCTCTTTCTTTATCTTGACCATCGGAATTTTCTGTCTTCCGAGATTTTCTTTCTTCTTTGACATCATATTTTATATATCAGGTTTTTGTTGTTTTTCTTTGTTGGACAATTTGGTGGAGAGATTGTTTGTTTACATATATACATACTTGAGAGTGTGGTGTAGAATTATTATGAGATCAATTTGTATAGTTGGCAATTTATTCTTATTTTTGTAACAGCAACTTTGTAATTACTCACTTTGTTCTTAATTTTGTGGATAGATAGTAAACTTCTAAAGATTTGTGTAAGTTATAAAATCCTCGTATGGTAATGTAATGATTTTTTTTTTTATCTTTGTATCAGTTTATTGTGTATAAATGTATGAGTTCTTTAATCATTGCTTTTTTTATATTACACAAATGGTTGCAATCCAAACCGGAAGAGCTATGTCTAGCCAGACAAAAAAATCCACTAGAAAGCTTCTTGGTTACAAATAACCCTTTGAGACAAAACTGTAAACCTACAGCTGTATCTCTTATTCTCTTGCACACACTCTCAATCTTGGTTCTTCACATTTTCACCCTAAAAAAAGTCCACATTAGATTTTCCTTGTAACAAAATAAAATTTTGAAAAAAAAATACATACATATTTTAAGTTTTTTCTATATTAAAATTGTTGGGATAGTTAATTGGTTTGAACCAAAAGTTTTGAAAAGTGCTGTAAATATATGTCTTATATACAAAGCGGGCTTGGGATGGTACTTCCAAAACTTATCTATAAAAACTTTAAAACCGAAATAGGCAGCGAATCTTTTGTCTCCTCTCCTTCGATAAAGTCAGCTTCAAATCTGATGCTATGGATCTCATCAAATCCATCATAAGAACTTTACGAAATCATCAAATTCTCATCTATGTTTTTTTTAACAAGTCTGGTGCTCGTTAATACTATGGCAAAGAAGTGTTTTAGTAATTTCTCCGCCTAATTGTAATCTGCATTTTCATCTATTTTAATAAATTAGATTTTAATCCGCGCGTTGCGCAAAATTATTTATTAATCTATTTTTATACTTTATAATTTTGTATCTTTATATTATTGTTATGTTTATTTGTATTGTATTATATTTTTTAAATTATAAATACTGTTGTAGTTATTTTATTGTCCTAAAATATAAGATTTATTGTAAAGTAATTTTCTAATATAAATTAAGATGTACTAATTCTTAAAAAACTTTTTATATATTTATATGATTTCATAAGTATCTAAGTTTCCATTATCTATATTTCTAGAGAAAACTTCAAAACTACTACTTTAATGTTACCACTTTTTAAAAATACAATCATTTTTTGTCCATTTTCATAAAGACTATTGTCTGATATTGAAATATACTAAACTACCCTTGATCTATTTCTACGCGTCTCTCACTTTCTTCGTCGGTATCGACGGAATAGTCTTAAATCTCTGAGGCTGTTCTTCAGAAAATTCTGATGATTCTGATATTTGTTTACTCTTATAATACTATGAATCGCTACCAAAGAAGTGTTCTGTTTTGCTTGTTCGAATTTCTATGGTTTAACTTCGGTTGCTGAGCGATGTCTTGAGATTTTTGATTGAAATGTGTTTGTGAATCGAAGGAAATCGAAGCTATATCGATTTGACAAGGATGCGAATCAGTGGAAGGAGAGAGGAGCTGGTACTGTGAAGCTCTTAAAGCATAAGAATACTAGGAAGATTCGTCTCGTCATGAGGCAATCGAAAACTCTGAAGATCTGTGCTAATCACTTCGGTAAAGTTTCCGTTTAGGGTTCTTTCTGTGGTTTTTGTTGCCTCTGGATCATGTATTTAGGTCACTGTTTACTGATTTGGTCTTCTCCGTCGAATTTCTGCAGTTAAACCGGGCATGAGTGTTGAGGAACACGTTGGAAATGAAAAGTCTTGTGACTTTGCCGATGGAGAACTGAAGGATGAACTTTTCTGCATCCGATTTGCTTCAATTGAGAGTGGGTATGCTCGTCCATTGGATCTTGTGATGCAATTGTATTAGCAATCCGCTTTTTTGCGTGTGTGAATATGGCTATTGACTGGCATGTAGCATATCTTAAATCTTCACCTTCTGATTGCTTACTTTTTTCATTTCCCTTTATGCATGTTAGTTATGCTCTGCCTTCTTTATTCTCAGTAGACTTACTTACATAGTTGGTTGAACCTACGTGCCTTAGATTACTAAAGGATCTTGAACATAGCTTTATTATATGGCTCAACTCATTATAAGGATGTTTTAGAGTAGTCAATTGCTTGGATTTTCCTTTCCTCTGAGTATGACACGCTCATCACTGTGTTTTTAAACGCATTAGTAATGCGGCATGCATTATCAAAATAAGTACTATAGCAGTTTGATTATAACATTAGAAAGAGACATCGACCTTGAGGTGGTTAAGCATGTTCTTAGGCTGCAACTAGTTTGATGTGCCATTATGACATGATCTATTGTGTTCTTTTGTTGGGGTGTATATTTTTCAGTGGTTTCTGAGCTGTTAATCACATGAACCGAAAATTTTTGTAGAGATGCATGGGTAATCAATTCTTATTTTCCTTTTCAGATTGCAAAGCAATTATGGAAAAGTTCAATGAGGTTGGTGAATCTGAAGAAAAGAAAGAAGAGAGCAAAGATGCCTCTGACACCGCTGGTCTTCTTGAGAAGTTGACTGTGGAAGAGACGAAAATGGAGGAGAAACCTGTGGAGAAGGTGAAGACTGAAGTGGAAAAACACATACTTTTTGTTCTTTCGCAACAATAAGTAGAGAATGCATTGTTGCGGTCGGGTAATGTATGGACATATCACAGCACTGCTGCGTGAGAAGATGGTTTCCAAAATCCCAGAGATCGGTTAGTCCAAGCACAACATTTGTTACCGTAATGAAAAGGTTTAAAGAACTCGGTTCATTTGTTTATATGATTATGTGTTCCATTGAATCATTGAAAAGTTGATTTGTGAAGTTTTGACTCCAAAAGTTTTTGAGCTTATCTTAGATTTGATTGGAGTTGGTGAATTTAAGTGCATAATTGTATATTCGCCTTCTTAATGTGGCAGTGTTTTCTTACTTCACATTTAAGAGTATGGGAAAATGCTCATTTTATTCCTCAACTATTTGCAATTAGTGATTTTAATCTCCAAGTATTGTTTGCACAGAATAATTCCCCACACTGTAGTTGACTTTGCAAAATTGGGCTTTAAATAGTCAGACGTTAACTCCAAAACGGAGTCCGTTAAAAATAATTATTTTCTCATCGGAAGTTCCTATTCTAAACCCAAAATTGAAAACCTAAAACGGAGTCCAACTTTTGCGATCCTGAAGCTTTTCAAGCTTTAACAATGGTGAAAACTATGTGGAAAAGAGGAGGGAGACGGAAACTTCCGATTCGAAGGGATACAGAGCCAGAACCAGCAGAAGAAATCGATCCTGCACCAGAAATCCATCCTGCAGAAGAAATCGATCTTCAACCAGAAATCGTACTTCAACCCGAAATCAACCCTGTTCAGGAAAGGTAATGTCGAATTTTAGCTTCTGATTATTGAAAATTTCGAATTTATCTTTTGATTTTTTGGAATGTCAAACTTAGCTTATGATTTTTGGAAAACTTTGGCTGCTTGTTTGTAGGATAAATGATGATGAAGTAAATATAGAAGAAAGAACTAATGTCCGTTTAGAAGAAAGATATATTATTGGTGAAGAAGAGAAAGATACTAGTGGTGAAGAAGAGACAGTGGAATCAGACGATAATGCATCAGTCCAAGGAGATGATTGCCCTGCTATTAATGAAGATGCAGCTGGATATAGAGAGACTGAGCCAGGATTAGCTGAAAATTCAGAGTTGGGTAATGATAATGCATTTGTGAATGTTGAAAAATGTGATGATGATGTTCTGTTTTCACATTTTCGAGATGCTGGTCGTGAAGATGAAGTTGGAGATAATGATGATAGTGGTGATGATATTTGGAATGATGATATCATTCCTGATCCATTATCAGATGATGATGGCGAGGAATTAGAGGGTAGGATGCAATTCAATTGTCGGCCGGATGAGATCTTAGCACTAGGGAAGTGCTTCAACAATGCTGATGAATTCAAGTATGCACTCCTCACATATTCTCTAAAAACTCAGTACGATATCAAAATGTATAAGTCATCTAGTGATAGACTTGGTGCAAAGTGCACACAGCATATTGAAGAAAAGTGTCCTTGGAGAGTGTATTGTTCTTTTGAAAAGAGCAGGAACAAGTTGATGATAAAAGTCTTTGTAGATGAGCATATTTGTGTAAGGTCGGGAACCACAATGTTATTGAAGAGTGGTACCATTGCTCAACTATTTGAAGAAAGGCTCAGAGTTAATCCAAAGATCAAGTCGCAAGAGATGGTCGATGAAATCAAGAGAGAGTACAATATGATTGTCAGTGCGCCTCAGTGTAGAAGAGCAAAGACTGTGCTTAGAGCAAAAAGAAAGGCTACTCATGAATTTTATTTTGCTAGACTTTGGGATTATCAAGAAGAAGTAAGAACATCTAACCCAGGTTCAACAATGGAGATTGAGACGATTCCCGGGCCAGTGCCTGGAAGCAAACAAAGATTCTCCCGTCTCTATGTTTGTTTTGCAGCGTTGAAAGTTGCTTGGAGGCAGTCATGCAGGCCTATAATTGGATTAGATGCAGCATTTATGAAATGGGATATCAAAGGCCAAATGTTAGGCGCTGTTGGAAGGGATGGTGATAATAGAATCTTTCCTATTGCTTGGGCCGTGGTTGAGGTGGAAGATGGTCCTAACTGGTTGTGGTTTGTGCAACTTTTGAAAAAAGATTTGGGACTTGAAGATGGAGATAACATTACAATTGTCTCGGATAAACATCAGGTGTGTGTTGCAAGTGTGTTTTTTAGCGTTAATTTGTTTATCATAGTTTCTTATTTTGTTTGATTTATGTGACAGGGTTTACTAAGCTCTGTTCACGCTGAGCTTCCTAAAGCTGAGCATAGAATGTGTGCTCGACACATTCTGCAAAACTGGAAGAAGATCAACAAGGAAATAGAGCTTGAGCGTATGTTCTGGAAAATTGCAAGGAGCTATACACCTGAGGCATTTGGGGATAACTTAGAAGCATTGAAGAAATACAACTTAGGTGCTTATGATTCTCTCCAATGTACTGCACCAACAACATGGACTCGGGCTTTCTTCAAGGTAGGATCTTGTTGCAATGACAATCTCAACAATTTGTCTGAATCTTTCAATCGTAATGTCAAAGAGTCAAGGAGGAAGCCATTACTTGATTTCTTGACTGAGGTAAGAAGGAAAGTAATGAAGAGGAATGCAAGTAGAAACATATTAACCAAAAGGTAGAAGAAAAGGTTCACACCAAGAGCAGACAGAGAGATTGAAAGCAATCGACAAAAAGCTAAGGATTGCAAAAGATACAGAACGACAGGAAATATGCATGAGATCGACTTTCATGGAGATGCTTGGAGGGTTGATATGGATCAGAAAACTTGCGGTTGTGGTTATTGGCAGTTGAATGGCATACCTTGTATGCATGCTATGTGTGTCATCACAAACACAAAGTTAAATCTCAATGACTATGTCTCTGATTACTACTTGACTTCAAAGTGGCGTGATTTGTATGTCGAGGGTATGAAGCCAGTCCAAGGCATGAAAGTATGGAGAAAGTTGGGGAGATTACCTATTTTACCACCACCATCACGATCCAACCGTGGAAGACCTCATGGTCGATCTAGGATAAAAGGTCCTCAAGAGTCTTCTTCTAATCCATACAAAGTAACCCGCCATGGTCGTATTCCTACATGCTCAAACTGCAAAAAAGAAGGACATAACAAGACAAGATGTTCTAATCCAACAGCACCTCCTCCACCAAAACGGCGAAGAGGTCGTCCAAGAAAAGAGGTTTGATTTGCACATCCTTTCTTGATTTGATTTGTGGTTCACTTGAATTGTGGCTTGCTTGAATTGTGGCTTGCTTGAATTGTGGTTTCATTTGAATTTTCTTGTTTCATTTTAGGGAGAGTCATCACAAGCATCACAAGGAGGAGCTTCTCAATCATCACAAGGTGGAGCTTCTCAAGCATCACAAGGTGGATTCGGGTTCTTTAGCTAATGAAATGGTTTTTTGTTTTCTGTTAAATTTTAGCTTTTATAGTGCTTTAGCTAGATTTAGCCTCGGTATTTTGGCATGTTGTTTCGAACTTACATATAAGACTTGCTTTCTTTTCTTTATCAAATTCAGATAATTTCAATCAGCTTTTATGTTTGTTCTTCTGTTTTCGAATGTTATCTTTATTGTATTGAACCTATGAAAATGTTTTAGCTTGATTAAAATCTGTTCTTCAGCTTGCAAATTTATCATAAACAAGAGTACAACTATTTGTTTTATCTTACAAAAAGAGAAAGATAGCCAAATACAATCATTGTCTTACCTTACAAATAGAGAAAGAGAGAACGAGAGAGAAAGAGAGAACGAGAGAGAAAGAGAGAACGAGAGCAACATATAATCAATTGTCTTGCATTACAAAGAGAGAAAGAGAGAAAGAGAGCCAGATACATTCACTTGTTACCAAATACAAGTGTGTTTCCATCAACTTTTTGAAACATGATGTGGTAGATGATAACAATAGCTAAAACACACAAACAAAGAACAAGCACAACCATGTTCTTGACTTTGATGTTTCGCAGCTCACTTTTGCATTGTTGAACTTCTTCTTTCACATTTAAGATCTCACCCATCAATTCGTTCACTTCAACCTCAGATTCTCTTCTATTTTGTTTCAAATCTTTAACTTCTTCATACATCACATCTTCCACCCACTTAAACAAGTGTCCGGGCTAAACAAATTCCATCAATTGTTACAATTCCATCAATTTCCACTCATGAAGAATCTAATAAGAATCAAGTTAGTAGCTTACCTTTCGAGAAACACTACAACGAAAGTATGGACGTCCGGAATTGTCGATTGACTGTGATGTGTATATCGTGACATCACTTCCACATACACATTTTGTGGGAAATCCCTTTTCCACATTCAAGAACACATTGTTGGAAGAACTCCCAAATTCTTTTCTACCATTGGAACCTATCTCCTCCTACACTCACATGGTTTCAGTTCCACTCTCAAATTTATACTCTAGTTACTTAAATTCAAAATGAATAATAAATCAAGGAAATGGATTTACTTACAGATTTCGACTGTGAAGCCGTTGGAAAGATTTCTGGGCAAGGATTTCGATTTTTCGTGAAGTTCATCAATTTGGTGGTGGAATTCGAGATTGATTTTGAAAATCACCTTTGTCGATCTAGGGTTCAGAATTGGGGAAAACTAAGAACTTGTAAGAAAAAGCCGAAGCCGATGAATATAAAGAAATCCCGACGACAAACTTTTTATTTTTAACGGACTAAGGTTTTGAAGTTAACGTCTGACTATTTAAATCCCAATTTTGCAAAGTCAACTGCAGTATGGGGAATTATTCTGCGCAAGTAATACTTGGAGATTAAAATCACTGATTTCAAATAGTTGAGGAATAAAATGAGTATTTTCCTTTAAGAGTATTGTAATAATACTCTAGAGATGTTTTGCAGAAAGCGAAAAGGGGTAAAAGTTAAAGGTTTTTTATATTGATTGATGATGAAGAAATCTCCGGAACATAATTAAGCAAGTCGATTATTTGATTACGATAGTAACATCTATTTAAGTACGATCAACTGTTTATGTTGAAAACTGATCTATGTTTCATAAGTCCCCG